GAGAGAATAGAAGGAGTGCACATTGCGTCACCTGACACTCTCTGTATGTGAAGGGTTAGGAAGTCGATCATATAAGACGCAGTATGTCCGCCAAAGAAAGCATCATAGTCCACACAAACAAGCAGACAACTCGATTACTCGCCACGCACATGTTAGAAGCCTCGCACCAACCGCTAGCAGAGATTTGTGGGAGCGCACCAAATAACCGAGGATATTAGGTGCAGCAGAGTGCCGATCATATTCTCTCACGATCTGGCCAGTCGGCGCCTGGAAATATGCTGCCAAGAAAGCTGTTCTAGGCCTCGAAAAATCCCGCGTCCCAGCAACAGTCACCCCAGCCGACAGAACCAACGACTAACGTCATTACACTGCCTTCACAAAAATGTAGCGCTTTACTCGATACTTTAATTACTATGAATATTACTGCACAATAAATATCGAACAATTGCTAACTTAAGTTACAAATGTCTCACATAATTGTAATACAGAGGGTGACGCATTTAAACTCACCGCTCACCGAGCGCGACTACTATCTGGAAGCAATGCCAACATAAACTCTTTACGAGATGGCTGATTTCCGTCAAACCATGCTATATCAGAGGTCGACAAGATTTAACAACGAACAAGATTCGCCACCCAAGTACACTGAGAGCTCTCCTCCGACAGCACCTGTATTCAACACGCGCGGTCAGCCGCAACGTTCTCGCACGAGCGGCTCGCGCCTACTCGCCGCTGTCTCGCCGCGCACGCACACAGCCTCGCGAAGCAATAATAAACGTAGAACTCGCGTGTCATAGCAGAGTACGATCCGCACAACCGCAAGTATCAACTCCACAGCCGCCATGACAGCACCGGAACAGCATGGCGCAACCGAAAAAAAGCGCCCTATACGGACCAATCATCTAATACCAGCGCATTCAAACTTCGGTCAACAACAGCAAACCGAGATGATAAACGATATCTCGGTGGCGGATGGGGAGTTAGCGAGTTGATCCGATCGACGAGCGGACGCGTAATCTCACCGCAGCAGTTGAAACCACTTAGCATCAAAACGGATCTTCCCGTTCTCTTCTCCCTTTCTCAACCTCGGTTTTCGTATTGGACCTTCTTCATCTTCTTCGTAAAGCTCTCGACCCGGCGTCAGTTTGACTCCTCTTATCTCACCGTCTCATCGACTTGGCTATCCTATTATACCCCTCATTCTCCTGTCGTTATTTATTAATTCGGGCCATATCGGAGGACACTTCCGCTCAAGTGAAAGCCAATTGTGCGGTGCCGAACGCCGCGATCGGTACTCCTGCTCGTGAACTCAAACCCCCCTCTTTTTGTATTATTGCGTTAACCCAATGTATAGCAGCGTAACGTTAATTGTGTAAATTGTCCATTAAAGTCAGAGGAAACCGACCACTTTTCCGTCATTTTGTGATTCACCATACCCACCGCGCTCTCTCTGAGCGGATCCGGCACATTTGTGCGATCACCTAACTACTTGGCGACACCACCGCACACGCAACAAAACATATTTCAAGAGCTTTCCAAAACACTACAACAAAGTATTTTTTTGTTAAGTACATCCCGAGTTATGAAGCTCCAAATTTACAGTATCGTCGGCATTAGCATTACCCAAGGTGTACCGCGTAGAGGTTGCACGATCGGATTTACACCTCTTGTGTGCGTGCGTACGTGTGTGTGTGTGTGTGTGTATGCGTGCGTGCGAACACGCGCGCGCGCACACACACACACACACACGTACGCACGCACACAAGAGGTGTAAATCCGATCGTGCAACCTCCACGCGGTACACCTTGGGTAATGCTAATGCCGACGATACTGTAAATTTGGAGCTTCATAACTCGGAATGTACTTAACAAAAAATACTTTGTTGTAGTGTTTTAGAAAACTCTTGATATACGTTATAAGAATATGCCAAAAAAAGTAGGGCGTTCCATTTGAAAAATTGTTGGTGACCTTCATGTAACCTTCAAATGGCTAACCAAGGTCTAATCAATGATACCTTCTTATGTCCCATTTGATACCATACAACTTTTGTCTGAAACATTTTTCTCTAAAATTATTCATTTCCAAGATATAAGTCTGTAACACTTTAATTGACTCACCGTGTATATATATATATTTTTTAATACAATATACAAAATTAATTATAGTGTTCCAAATTTTATATAATTTTACTTTTTGTAGGAATATCAGAACAGCTTGAAAATGGTAACGAAGACATTTTAGGAAATCCACCAACGACATGATCAATAGCAGACATTTTAAATGAGGAGGATGTTACCACGATAATAACAGTAAGGAAATACATATTAATTACATAATAACATATCTGTTAGTGAAATTTTCTTACTTGAATAGTAATTAGTTATTCCTTATTTATTATTTTACAGGAAGGAACAGACAACGGATTGGTACGCAATTGCAAGAAGCACGCGATAAATTTGCAGAGATCGCAGAAAATCATACAACTACTTTACGGGTAAAATATTTGTTATTGATTTATTATAGAATTCTGATTATTATAAAAGTTATTAGTTATTAGTCTATTTAACAATAATATTTTCTGTCTTTTTGTAACAGTTACATGCAGAGGCCTCGATGAAACTGGCTGATTCTGCACTGTTAGCAGCTCAGAACGACTTACAATTGAAGAAAGAAGAATTGCAATCGATGAACAGTAAATTAAAGTTTTAGATAATTTACAAAAAATAGTAGATAGGTTATTATAAAAGGTTATTATAAAAGTTATAAATTTATTATGTGCCTTGTCTTTGTACATATTATGATGTTACAATACAACATAATATTATTATTATAATTTATATTAATATATACAAAATTAATTAATATTAATATATACAACATAATATTATTCTTTAAACTCTACTATATTGGCGAGCTATTAGGTTTTCTTGTATGCGAATTGCATGTGCTCGTCCTCGAAAGATACGTTCTCTTTCGTTATCTTCAACATCTGCGTTAAGTCCCATGTGACGGAAAGCTTCGATCTCCATTTCGTCTACTTCTACTTCTTGCATACGATGTGCAATTCTCATATTATGAAGCACAGCACATGCGTTTACTATCTTACCAGCCATGCCTGGCTTGTACATTAATCGCCTCTGCACTGATAAACATTTAAATACCGCTTTCCACACACCAAACAAGCGTTCTACGCATGACCTTGCACTACAAAGATTGTTATTATATCGAAATCGTGGAGAACCAGGTATTTCGTGCTTCAAGGGAGTCATCAGCCAAGGTTCAAGATTATAACCATCATCACCTGTAAAAAGATAATCTTTATTTATCACCGTTTAATGAATAAAACCTACAATCTTACCAATTAACCAAGTATTGCGTTCTCCATTGTTAAATCGTCGTTCCATGATACGATGTATGGGAGAGTTCGACCATATGTATGCGTCATGTCGTGTGCCAGGATATCGTGCGTTTACATTTAATATTTTTAACTCGGGATCACAGATCTGAAATTATGATTACAAAAAATAGATTTTGGGATATTGAATTAAAAAAACTCTTATTTTATATTTTAGATTATAATTATATTGAACTTTAATATATAAATAATACGTACTAATTAGGCATTGATCGTGTGATCACCTCAATGATTAACATAAGCCTCCTCATGTTCTTTTGGTCCTTTAATATTAATATAAGTGCAATCAATCGCTCCGATAGCACCTGGAAATAGCTGAGCTGCAGTTCTGAATTTTTTTCGAGCGACATGGCGTTCCATATCCGTCATGGGAAATTTAACCCATCGTCGTAATAATAAATCATTTATCGCATTGATTACTTTTCGTATACAGCGACTAACAGATGGTTGACTCACTGCAATATCCCATTGCTCTCCGATTGCACCTTGGTAATAGCCGACGGCATAAAACCTGAGAGCAGTTAATATCTGAAAAAAATAGTTTGGAATAAGCAATGATTAAATCTAAAAGCGATAAACTTTCTATAACTTATAGTCCTTAAATTTTACTTTAATGATAATATATGCACAGATTCATAATAACATATGACATTGAATTACTATTGTTCGCTCTTTGGCGAAGCGAACAAGAGGCCAGGACGGCTCAGCAATGAGCGCGGGGTGCGACTTAACAGGAAGATAATGTGGTCTCTTTTGTTTTTTATGGGATCGGTCCTCCTTTCCGTCCTGGTCAGCTTCGACGTTCGTCGAGGCGCTGGGAGGCCAATGCTCGCCCGTTGAAGCGTGAGCACAACTCGAACACGCGATCCCAATTTTATTATATAAAAAAATACAAAATAAACTTTAACAATGTACGATGAATGTGATCGTGCGTCGCACGTCCGTTCGAAACGCAATGCGTTGAGGCCGCAATCGTATTTCGGACGATGAGGTTCGACCGGAGCGGTCGAGCAGCTGAGTTGGAAAAACCGAAAAACGGAGCGGAACAAACTGAACTATTACTTGCGAGCGGTTTCGTGCGAAGAGAAGATCTGATCGACGCGAGGAAACGAAAAGCCGTTCGTCACTTCGATCTTACATGTATTGTTTTGTTTTGTGTCGCTCGGAGATGATATGGTAACCGCTATTTGGTCGAAAACGTTGCCATATTAAGCAGTCACATACGGACAAAACGTGACAACAACTACGCGGTGTCCGATATCAAACACGCACGGCGTGCTCACGCGAGAGTCACGCAGGATATCTCGTGATATCGAGAATCCTTGATTTCGTCGACACAAAGAGCGGGCCTTGGACGGATCGCAATCAACTATAGTATTTTAAATGAGTGCAAAATAATCAGTATCTGGTGTTCTGTGCTGAGACTATATGGACGCTGATGTTCTAATCGTGGTTCTAAAATATTAGCCAATTCTATGACGATATCTGGAGTTAATCTATATAATTTAATAAATTCATCATCGTGGAGGTCGAATGGATCATGGGCATCTCGCCATTCTCTCCTCTCCACATGGCGTTCTAAACGTCTTACTCGATGCTCCAGATTTAATAAGTCCCACGCAAGAAATCCTTCTGCCATTTGTACTACACTAGAATGCAATATGATATTGCTTAATATATTACATGTTATTTGGAACACAATAACAAATTTACGATTTCTACTAATAAATTTTTATAAATTATCAATAATTAATCAGAAAGTCATGAGTTTCACATAGTTACTTAAATATATCCCTGGTGAAAATTTTTTACTGAAAATTAATGATTTTCTCTGAAAAATTAGTTTTTCATAGAAAGTAAAAGATTTTCAAAGTATGTCATAGAAAGTACGAAATTTTTATGAAAAAATATAATTTTCTCTTTCCTTTTCAATGAAAATCTGAAAATATCTGAAATGTTTTCTGAATTTTTCAAAAATTGTTCCAATCTACTGAGTTTTTCATAGTTTTTGTTAGATTTTCAGCAAAATTTTTTCAATCAAAATTTTTCCAGGGATGTTTAGATATATCCAATTTTATATCACGTCAATAAAATTGGAGATAATTAAACATATATGTATCTACACATTCTTTAAAGTATATTATTAATTGTAAGATAAAAGGTAAATCAAATTATGTTAGGTTAGGTTGGCTTAGATTACCTTGTTCTAATAATCTGAGTTAGCCTATTTTCATTGCGTGTTAAAAGTATATAATATTAATATGAAGAGCATATAATATATTCTATATTATTTATTTAACAAATATTTACAGTGGTATTTAATATTATAGATTGTAACGGTAACGCCCGCGGGGTTCGGTGCGATCGGTCGCCCACCGTCGCGCCCGGCTCGCCGCTTCCGCGACTCCTCGCTCGCCGCCGCGCCGGTGCAATACTCGGGTGAAGGGCTAGTTCAAGGTAGCTTCTCGGAAGAAATGTGTGTTCAGCGTTTCTGTGTTAACAAGTTGGGTGCGGCCCGCAAGGCGCCCCGTTTATTTAAAAGACGTTCGATGCTATATAATAGATATATATATATATAAGTGTATGTGGGCCGCTCGCTGGCCCGGTGTGGCGTCGGCGATGTCCGTTCCTTGGTGCCCGTGATTCCTGCGTAGCCGCAAGGGTGGTCCCCTATCCGAGGGATCAGAGGGGATGTTCCGCGGCCTTTTGGCGGTCCGACGTCCTCGGCCACGAGTCCTGTTGAGGGCGACTTACGCCAGCTGTTCTTTGGATAAGCGGGAGGTGGTTTATTCCGGGCAGCGTACCACGGTCACAAAGTCGGACAAGCACTGATAATTCCGCGAACCGATGCTTCGGAAATATTCTACGTCGGTGGCCAACGGCTGCCGATGCAGACGGACGAACACTTATCCTCGCGCACAGGAATTTAGAAATTAATCTACGTCGGTGGCTAATTGCTACCGACGCAGACGGACGAGCACTTATATTCCGCGCACAAATACTTAGAAATATTCTGTGCTGGTGGCTAACTGCTGCCGATACAGACGGACGAGCACATATAAATCCGCGAACAGATACCTAGAAATATTCTGTGCCGGTGGCTAACTGCTGCCGACACAGACGGACGAGCACGTATAAATCCGCGAACAGATACCTAGAAATATTCTGTGTCGGTGGCTAACTGCTGCCGACACAGACAGATGAATACGGTAAATTCGCGAACGGATACTTAGAGATATTCTGTGCCGGTGGCTAACTGCTGCCGACACAGACGGACAAGTACGGTAAAGTCGCGATGCCTGGTCGGCCGACGAGGCTCGGCTGCCGGGTCTTATAAAATTTCCCGGTGGTTCGGTACGGTGTGGAAGCTTTACTCACCGGCGGATGCCTTGCCTTCTCATCGACTTCTCTTCACGATTCTCGCTGGACTCTCCTGGTAGCTGATCTGGTGGACTCACTGTCTCTCACGGTCTGCTCGATCTCTCGTCGAGAGCGGGTTTTATACCCTAAATTCCTCTCGACGATCGGTGGCCGATAATCGGGGGATTAGTTCCCCCCGATTTCCCGGAAAGTCGCGCATGCGATTTTCGCGAATTACCCCTTTCTGGGGGGACCGATCTTCCCCGACCGCTTCGCAGAATTCGGCTTTTTCCGGCGGTCTGGCAGGTTGCCGTGGCATAGGTGTTGCCGGGCGCTTGGCGATGATTTCTCGCGATCGTGTGACGATCGGTGGTCGCCGTCACACGATAGTAACGGGGGTAAAACTCCTCGTTACAAGATAAACTCACCTTTGCTCACCTTTCCAAATTTTATTGCTATGTTACTGCTCCAATGCATTAATGAATCGTGTTTTCTATTTCACTAGAAAATATCACCAAAAATATGTCGGTACTGCGATACCGTCACATCCCGGGGGTCACGTTAAAGTTTGTCACTATCTAACGATGTTTATCGCGAACTAACGACAAATATCGTTACGCGTTCGTCGTTAGCAGCGGTACAGAATAGCTTCTACCGATACTTGTCGGTCGACGCCGTTAACGACATCGGTAGTTGTCGTTAAGCGTGTACGGAATAGTACCCCTGGACATGTTGGATTCGTCGTCGCTCACATGGTCGCCATCCATTCGTCGCGATACTAAGCGACGACGCTCGCCGTTTCGTCGCGACGCAGCGAGACGCGCGCGAACGAGTCGTACGGCGTGCGACGAGAGTCACAACGCGATCACTTGTTTTTTCGCCAGCGATCTGATCGACCGAGTTCGAGGTCTGTCCGACGAGGATTTAGACGCCGTGTACGAGATGCTATTGATGAGTCACTACTCGCGCTATTTCGCTTCGATAACGTCACTAACCACGGCACCTCCGGGCGAAAATGAGCGACGTCGAACCGAGGACAGCTCCCGCCCGGGCACGAGACCGGTTGTCGTCGTCGACAATGACGAGGAGGCCGGTGACTCGACCGCTTCGTCGTCGCGACGACATCGGTCCGAGCGTTCGGAGCACGCCGCTGTATCGGAGAGACGGGCGGATTCGAACGCGATAACGAGCGGCGCGCGATATCTGAGCGATCGTCTCGATCGAAGCGGCGCGACGACGCTGCGCGGCGACGATAGCTTCGTGTCGGAGGCGTTTGCGGTCGCGTGCGAGCAGCGTTCGATCGAACTCGCAGCCGGCACGAACTACGAGAAGGTTCGATCGTTTCTGAGAGAACGCGCGCTCGATCCGGTATTTGCGATCTGTCGTTGCGGTCGTCGTCGCGAGTGTTGACGCTTGGCCGATTGATCGCCTCCGTGGCGCTGGACGCGCCCAAGTTTTCCTCGCGCGAACGCGATCTGTTGCGCTCGTTGTGTCTGTCGGAGGTCGGTAATTTCGTGCACGATTACGCGACGGAACTGGCGACGATCGTTAACGTCGACGCGACGGCAGGTGACGCTGCGTGACGTAGTGCACGTGCGCGCTTTCGGACGTATGCGCCTTGCTCAAGAATCGCGTCGTCGCGGAGAGCGGAGACGGTAGCGGCGCGACGACGAGCACCTCGATGCGACGCGGTTCATTGCCGTATCCGTTGAATCTGCAAGTGGACCCGTGGTGCGCTCGCGCGCGTCCTGCGATGCGCCGTCACGGTCGCGTATTCTCCATGTCGCGCGAGGCGACGGCGCAATTGATCAGATGCGTCGCGCTGCACGAGAGATCATCCGCGGTGATCGACGTGCGGCAACGACCGAGCCTCGTCCGTCGACTACCCGCGCCGTCGCGTCACGATCCGGACGCGCGGAAACGATTCCTCACCATTCTGATGCTCCCGATGACCGACGAAGCTCCTCTCGACAAGAGCGACGGAGGGGAC